TAAACAGGTGGTGCAAGATATAGGGCCTCATTTCCAATTGTCTCTTTAGAGTTCTAGACCCTGACCGCACTTATACATAATAAGGATAAAATTCTACTTAATAATATAGATCTTGATGCATCCCTCAAATGAAAATGAAGATCAAAATTAGATTCAGAGTAGATTAAGAGCAGGGGCATAAGCTAATTCAGTATTTGTTTCTCACCTAAAAGCCTTCTAGATTTTTAGATAAGTGCTTTTAAAAAATATCTATTCATGTATTTTTTTCCACATCATACAACTCATACTCTTAGTTGAATACTGATTAATTTAGAGAAATCGAAATAACTTGGACTATTTCATATAAAGCAAAAAAAAGGCACAGTTTACAGTGTTTAATGACATGGTAGCAAGAAAAATGATACACAGGTTGGGGTAAATATTAGTTTTAATTTTTTTTGACAAATAATTTCAAATATAATTTTAAAGGACTAAATTAGCATCACGGCTTCAGGTTTAAATAAAAGTTAACAAATAGAATAAAGCATCTTAATAAATAGCTTTATTTTAAAACAATGTGACATACTTGCTACTAACATATAAGGTGTCAAATACTCTAAGAAAAAGCTCATAACCTTAATAATTTCCCATTATAACATCAAAAAGCATGTAATAAACATCAAATTATTTTTGTTTGGCAAGAAAAGTAAAAATTAAAAGCACGATGAGAACCACAGAGTACAAACTCTAAATATACTGTATAGTAATAACCCATCTTTGCTTTCTTTCTTACATGACATTTTTTTGGAACCTGGCTAAGAAGCATAAAAATGACAGTGAGAAAATAAGGCTGGCTGTTCTTGAAACGTAGGAGAGTTACCAAAAGCTGGAACAAAGGAATATGCTGCCCATAGTTCCCCGAAATAAAATAATAATTCACAGTAAAATAATTTCTAAATATGCCACACTCTTATGAGCTTGAAATTGAAAGGTTAAAAAAATAAATCAATAAGCATTTGTGGGATGCTGAACCACCGAAACAGATTTCTATAATTATGGCATCTTATTCTGAGGTTGATTCCAAATTCTTCATTCATGACCTGTGAAACACTTCCCTTGTTCTTAAAGTCAACATTAAGGCATGCCAAATTCCTATAAGAAAATTATTCTAACAATAGCTTTGGATATTAAAGCTCTATAACTATAAAATATACTAATACATACATAGACTTGAGTGCGCATAAACTTGCACACCCACAAACTTAAACCACGAGTACACTCTTAAGTGTAAGCCACAGATTTTTAAAATCAGTTTTATGTGTTTAAAATCATATTTTACTTTTTACAGTGTCAATGCACTAGGCAGGCAAATTATTTCCCTAGACTTACAAAAGTTGAAAGGAAAAATATTATAGAATACTATGAACCATAAAATAATACAGCTGAAAATCAGCTGAAACACAATGATGTGTTAATTCTCTTTCTTATGAACTATTTTATACTGGTAAAAGCCAGTGAGACTTCATTATAATTTTCATCGTAGTCATTTTTTATGTCCAATTCTGGGAAAGGTTAAACCCATTACAGAGAGCAGTGAGGATCTGTTTTATTCCTTTGTTGCGGTGGAATCTAGTTGACAGTATTAAATCTTGCCGGACATTTGGCAAAGGTTGTGAATCTTCTTTGTCAGATCACATTTTTGTGGTGACATTAATTGATGGAGTGAAATCTGACCTTCAGATTGAAAAACCTTCTCCTTATTAATAGATATATAGAATGTTTTTTTTTTTTTTAACTTCAGACAACAATCCAGGTAAGGTTTTGTGTGAGCCAACTATTGCACATGTGAAGGATGTGCTCCTGCCTAGAATTTTTGCTTGTCTCACTCAAGTAAGTAAAAAAAAGTAGAGCCACTTGAGTTCACTCGTAATTCTTGATATCCAAGTGGTGCTCACTCACTCATCTAACCTTACCCTAGGGGGCAAAGGGAAGGCACAGATAAATTTGGTAGGGAAGTCTTTTTGTCCAAAGTTGCACCTCAAAGGGCATGTGCCAGCACTGGTCCAATTGGGTCCCTAAAGCAAATATGTGTCAGGGGGATGGACTCAAAATATTTTGGGTGGACAGAAAGGCATATGGTATCAAGGCAAGTATCTAGGTAGTACAGAATCAAGGGCCATAGCAGTCATGTGGGCAAAATATCCACGGCCTCTGAGAACTTATGGTTCCAAGCAGTCCTGTTCTCTAAACTATAAATCGGCTATGCAATAGGGAACACAGAGGAAAGACTTCTTTGTATGAGGGCCAGTGCATCATATTGTATGGTCTGCCTTAGGAGCTCCAAATGGCTGGAAAGGACAAACAGCATTGCAAAGAAAACTCTTTGCAAACTCTGCCACAAACTGTTTAAGGTGCCTTAAAAAGAAATGGTTTATTAAAGACATTAATAGGCTTAAGCTGTCCAGTAGCAGCATGTCGGTCCCCGTAGTAAAGGAGAAAGGCAGCTTTCTTTCTGGAACTCACCCCATTGGACCGCATTGCTGAAGGATGAGCTGCCTTCTTGTTAAGATTAGGAATAAGACTCTGAGTTTAGATTTCTAAAACCAGGTAAATAAGCTAAAGACCTAGGACCTCTGAAAAAAGAGTTTTGCTTCTCCAGGTTTAGCAATAAAAACTTTCATAGATTACAACCAGCACCGTGTCGAAGAGATAGATGTAAGGTCATAAATCTCCAGGAAGGATCCAAAACCAATATCACAGCTATTGTTTGCCCAACATCTGTAACATTTATCACCTGGTCTTCCCTAAGTATTTCTAGAGCCAAAAACACTCTTTATCAGATTGGAAACAACAGTGTATAAAGCACGTGGCTTTTCTTTGCCTGTGATACCATTATTTTAAATTCAAGTAATCTTCATCTTGAATGCCAGCACTGACAGGATAGTTGAGGGCTACACACACCAAATATCCAGGGAAAAGTTGATTAAGGCAAGCATCTGAATGACATCAATCCAGCACTAAAGGAGTCATCCAGATGATTTTCTAAATTGGCCCCTTTTGGTGTAATGGTCTGCCCTCATGTAAGTTGAAGGTCAGAAGAGATGTGCTCTATATATGAGCAGATTCAAACAATGTTGAAATAAGCATTTGCTTACTAAATTTCAACCTTAAGGAAAATTTTACGGACTTCTTGGAAAAAGAGAAATATATTATGACTTATTAGGTCTTTTTCTCCCCTTGAATATTTTCTTTTCCTAAATGGCATTCTTTTCTATGTTGCCTTTAGATCACATCTATATAATTGGTAGCACTGCAAGATTCACTAAATGCTTCCACATGAAAAGCTTTGGCTTTTTCTCCCGTATTAACAATTGAAGAAAACTTCCTAACATTTGATTCTCAAACTCCTCTTCCTTCATAAACTGAAAATCAGCTGCATATTAATTCAGTTTAGTCTGCCATTTGGCTAATTGATCTTGTTTCACCAATAAACAAAAATAAACTTCGTTGATCTCAGATTCTATGAATAAACATGTAGTTTTTTGTAAATGTATTTAAAAAAAAAAAAAAAAAGCTCAGACCTATTCACTCAGCCAAGCAGTAGATCATTCCCTTTCTGCTTCAATGTTATCCAAAGTGGATCCTCAGGCAAGCAAGAGACAGACTTATAAACTTCTAGAATATAAAACTTATACTACTGGTAAGACAGCCTCAATACAAACCATGCGATGAGTCACAGTAAAACAAAGTTTGGTTCAAAAAGCATGAAGAACCAGCAACAGAAAACAAAAATTATGCTTCTATTGTCTCGATTCTTTCTGAATCAATAAATCAGTACTGTTCTGTAGGGTAGAGCCACTGAACTATGTCTAGCTTCCTCTGATGTTCATATAATTTCTCATTTTTACCTAGTAATTCTTTCACAATACCTGTCCTCTCTTTTTACTATCCTCTGATCCTCCCTTTTTGCATTTCACCTTAACCCTTAGTAACACACAGCATACCTCGCTCATCAAATTGATCTTGACACCCATGAGAGCTCATTCCCATAAATACCTTGATTCACACACTTGGCCAGCCAAGTCACCCACGCACCTCACAGATGTCCGTAACAACACAAACTTTAGACATTAGAACCAGGCTTTACAATCTACAAATAAATCGCTTTCTCACTTCTTCATCTCTGCCTTCTCACACCAATTCCCAGCTCTAGTCCTCTTTAAGAATGACCCCCCTGATCCTGATAACACAATCATGGCAGTTAAAACAACTCTTAAAGTGGGTGGCTGGAAACACCTCAAGGAAAAGTTGTAAAATGCAAGATGTTTCTGAGGCCGAGTTCCCTGTCCCCTTCCTGAACCACTGCCATACTGAGGCAGTGTGTCAGTGTGGGCACTGGGTGTGTTTTGCAAAGTTGTGACCACGTTGACTATCATGCTTCACATAGAGCGAGAGTTTGCACTTTACAAGGCGAGAGCTCAGAGTTACTGAGTGACACCTAGACCACTGTGAGTGGGAGGGGAGTTCTGGTGATGAGTGCAGCTCCCACTGAATCAGTGTGTTGAATATTTCTCCCTCTCTCTTTCCATTTTAATTTTTTTGGCTGTGGGCTTAAGGACTGCTGCCATCCTGAGGCAAGGACTTGTTGTTTGGCCTAGAGCAAGATACAGCCTGCTAGGCACAGTTCCCAAGAGTGTAGCTGCAATTGTATTGGAGATTTTCCCCAAACAACAACATGTCACCTGGGGGCATGCCAGAGCCAATGTGACTCAGACCTGCCGAGATGTTTAGATGTCTGGAAACATATTTTAAAACTTTCATGCTTTGCCTCTGTGGTGTGAGAACCAGCAAAGACTTCAAGAGCACAGGTAACCAGTATGATGACAAAATCACAAACAAAAAATAAAATGTATATCAGGAACGATTTTCACTTCATTTACAAAAAAGGGCATGTAACCCTGGCTATTATCTGGCACTAACATTGCGGGTTAAATTCACATTGGTCTTATAATGATTTATACAATTTTCTTTTATTAGAAAATTCATCCTAATGACTTAGTTACTATTTCTGAATACAGGAATGATTTTAAATGTAACATTTTTTACAGTTACTTTAAAAATAACCAACATCCTCAAGCTTTAAAATGTTCAAACTCAAAATTCTACATTTTAGCATTTAGCCAAATTACAGGAAGAAAAATTAAGCAAGAAAATGGATAAGCACCTTTGAGCGTTAAATATATTATGTGATTAGTGCTTAGTAAATTTTCCATAAAATAGATTAGCAATTGATCCTACTCCGCGTAGGACCTCCTGTATCCAAAGAATAATATCTCATATTCATGTAAAAGAAATCATTTGTGTACTGGGTCATTAGAAATATTTTGCTATGTAAGTACAAGCTCATGGCCATCGCAGATTAATTAGTGTTCAGCTCTTTAAAAGGACAGGTGTGGCTGGTTGTGGTTTCTTATGCATCTTACATGGCTTTTCTTCTAAATAGAAGACACATGGAGAACAGAAACACTCACTGGCTGTTGGTTTGTAAAATAAACTTTTCTTGCCAGGCAAAAAAATTGCACTGTTAACCTTTTATAAATTAACATTTTTTTTTTCGTATAAAACACCAAGGCAGACTCTCAAGAAGCTCATGAAGAGAATTAACTCTGTACAGCGAGAACATCTTCCTCTACCAAGGCCAGTTCCAGGGTGTTTTCATTAGTGCTGGTTTTCATCCTGAAGTTGAAAGAACCATAGAGTTTTGCAGACTCTTTGGAAGAGGCAAATCTGTTTCGACGATAAAGCTCCCCCTTCCACATAGACATCATTAGCAAACAGGACAGGACGACCCCTCCCAGAGTGAGGAGGCAGAGCCCGGCAATCACGCAGCGGTCCAGGTGAGCCCCCAGCCTCGCGCTCTCCTTCTCCAGGCGCTCCATCTCCCGCGCTGCCACGGTGTTGGGATCCACAGTCACTTCTCGTGGCACGATGTAAGAGATGATCACCAGCAGGATGCCAGTGACCAAGAACAAGATGGCGCTGATGAAACCATAATCTACTGACTTCCCTGAAGATGTGGCTTCTGAACTTGTATCGTCTTCCTCTTCAGATATCAAGGATATGGCAGCCTCTTGGGACCACTCACTTGGATTTTCCCAGCCCAGGTCTCCAGGGTGATTACGCCCTTTTCTTGAAGGAGAACTTCGGTTCTGCTGCTCCAAGTTCACATTCTCGTCCACATAGGTAAAAGAAGTTTCTAATTCCTGGCTGCAGCAGTTGCAGACTTTCCGTTCCACTGTTACGTGGCTGTTCCCTGAGTGGAGAGGTCCCGGTGGGAAGGAGTCTGGCTGAATAGCGCGGTCTCGTGGGGAGGAGGAGGGGGATGCTGGAGAAGGACTGAGTTTAGACCCTTCCATCTCACTTGCTCTTGGTGTGGACGTACAGTGTCTTTGGCAGCAGAGGGCAGCTCTGGTTGCTGCATCTGTCTGGTCACCAGGAAGCCCTTGTGAACTCCAGTCCATGGCATCACACAGGTCTGCCTGGCTGCTCTTCTCTGCAAGGTAGTGGAGCTCCATGGGAGCTAGTCAGACATCCTCCAGCAGCTTTTGGAAAGTCTGCCAATAACAACACAGTTAGATAAGAACCCAACAGAAGCTAAGGCTGCACTGCCAGGAGTGCTGCTCCTGAGGTCCCCATTTCCTCTGCAGCCACAGCTGTCGGCACCTCAGCCCCTGCTCCTCCTAAAAGAGGCAAAAGAAGGGAGGGGATTCCTAGTGGCGGTAAAGAAGTGTGGAAAGCACAAACGCTCTGACTTGTCACAGGGATTAACACTGAGAAACTTAGGTCAGGGTAGAAAAGGTGCATGGAGGAAGTGGCAATGTCTCTGGAGAAAGCACACTGCCGTCACCAAGCCAAATTTATCCAAGGACTCACACATTCCTGAGACAGGATCCCTCAAATGAGAAGGCAGTTTTCCTGTATAAAGACACAAATGAGAAAGGCCGTTTTTAGCAGAGCTGCTGATATTCTAGGGGACTTGGGAAAGCACAGATTTTTTAATTCATTTAGATTGTGAGTGTTTACACTCTCTTTAGTTAACAACACATTCTAACGTAGATTAGCTTTAGAGCGGCACCATGAGTGAATGACTATATGCCCCTGTCAGTTGGGCTCCACTGGAGCAGGGGCTCAGCATTTCAATTCTGTAGCTCAGAAGTGGGTGTAAAAGGCTGGCGTAATCAGCCACCTCTCCTAACCTCACGCTTCATACATCCAATGACCCTAGTCACAGGGCCCTGTATTTACAAGACCATATGCTCCTTGTTCACTGTGCTTCCACTCAGCCCCATTCCCTCACTGCATGCTCTGGACCCCAAAGTGTGTAGACAACACACCTCACTGTGATCCCTGCTAAGTACAAGGAGCCAGCCCACTCCCCCACCACACACACTGCTGCCTGTTCCAGCCGGTCTGTGTGGGTCTGAAGTCCTTCCCCTCTGCATGCTTTGCTAACAAACGTGCACAAGAAATTGACCATCCAGAAATTTTTATGAACCCAATCTAGAAGTAAACTGACAATAAGAGACAAACCATAAGCCCACAGAGTCAGAGTTCTGTTGAGGCAAATTGGTGAGAAGCTATTTTCAAGGTTACCTCTGGGATTTTATATGCGTGACACTCCCTCGCCCCTACTGCAGCAAGGGGCCTTTCTGGAATAGAACTTTGGGCTGAGCAGAAAACCATCTTCACATCTTTCTCTGCTTCTGCCATCTTTCCAAGGAATAAAAATTCACTTTCCACTATCACTAAATATGGGGCTTTTAACCAAGAGCCCCTTTTATTTTGCTTCTAAATCCAAGGTGATAATTGATTTAACCCACGGCTTGAGGCTTATTATGCTTCAAAATCCACAGCTCCAAAGCTGGTAACAGAAACACAGGCAAGGGTCGCCTAAGGTCAACCTGGCAACGCAAAATATGGGAGAGGGAACTGACACGTATTCTGCTACACATCAGAGATGGTTAACAAAAAAAAAAAAAACCACTTTTCTCCTATTATCGGAGTTTCTCTGTAATGAAAACAGCAAAAAACACCAAGTGCAAGAAAACCACAACTGAACTTGAGCTTTCCTTTAGCAAGTGAGCAACCCCTACTGAAGGATCCCTCGGTGAATGAAAGGATCGCAGCGGGATTCTTCAACTACAGAAATGAGAAATCGCCTCGCAGTTCCCTCAGGCATTAGGCGCTCTGATTGACCTTTGGCGCAATTAACCCATCACATTAGACTACTTTGGATAAAATCGGCAGGGTTCCTTATAGGACTTCCAATTTATAATAAAGGAGGAGAGAAATCCCCACTTAATTCTCTACTCCTGCCTGTACCTCTCCTTAAATAAAAGAGAGGCTCCCGCTTGTTCTATCTGAGCCGCACAGCCGATTTTCTTTGCAGCTTCGTAATCCAGGGCTTCCATCCTCTGTGGAGAACGGATAATCCCAGGGGACCAGCTAAAGGCTCTTTGCTTCCGTCCTCTCCCTCTTTTTCCTCTGGTCTGCTAAAAGCCCAGTTAACGATATTGCACCCTAAAGGGAGGGACAGCACTTTCTCTAGTCTGTCTTGTCGTCAATTAATAAAAGCATTAATATTTGCATAGGAACTGACAAGGGCGAGGCTGGTCTGGGGGAGGCGACCTCGGGATGCGTCCAGTGCGCGCCGTGCCGCGAGGGCAAGCCGCAAGCACCGGGCAGCCGTGCCCTCCGCGGGCGCTGCGGGATCAATCAATGCATTTCTGGGGAGCTGTGCGCCCACCCGAGGCACCGGGGGTCGGGCTGCGTCTGCCTAGTACTCGGAGGCAAAGCAGGCACCTTGGGCAGGGAGTGGGGACATGCGCCCCTGCTCCTCCCGGCTCCCGGGCTCTCTCCCTCGCGTCCAGCGCCTCCTCCCCGTCCCACTCTCCGCCACTCACCTTCTTGCCTCGGCCACCCGGTGCGGCTCGAGCCCCGCGCGCTCGCCCGGCACGGCTCCCACAGAAAGTCCCCCAATCTCCAGCCGCGGCACTTGTAGCCTCTGCGCGCGGCTCTGGGATCCGGGGGGTGGGCAGCGCCCGCCGTGCCGGGCTGGGCTGGGCTGTGCTGGGAGGGGCGGGGCGGGGCGGGGCGCTCCCTCTTGCTGAGCATCCCGGGAGTTGTAGTCCAGGGCGGTCCCTACGTCCCTCTCTTCTCTGTCTGCTCCCACATCTCCTCGATTTCGTCCTTCCTGCAGATGAGTTCACGCTATATCCCCACACTCTTTCCTGGCACTTCAGAAAAAAGCCCTGGCTTCTAAGCTCAGAGTGGGGTGCCCCGGCCTCAGGTTTTTGGGGGAAGGACAGGAAGGAAAGAGTGTATATTTAGTTTCAACTATGTGCCAGGCAATTTGCATACTTTGTCTTATTTAACAGACAAATCTTCAAAGTAGATTTTATTAATCTTCATTTTATAGATGAAGAAACTGGTTCAGAGTGATTAAATGCCTCATCCAAGGTTACAAAGACAAATAGCAGTTTCTAAAATTGCATCCAGGAGTCAGATTCCGAAGTCATTGCCTTTCCCATAAAATCACGTTTCTAGAGGACTAGCTTGTCGAGCCACATTTTATAGGGACGCATTCTGCACTTAGTACTATAGATTCAAAAAGAAACATAAAGGCATCCTGGGGTGTCTAGAAGAGAGCAACTAAGATATTGCAGGAACTTGAACTCAAGTTGACAAGGAGATGCTGAAGGAACATGGGGTATTTAGCCAGAGGAGAAGACTTAGAGGAAACAAAACTATTTTTTAATAATTTAAAATTTGTAAATAGAAGAGGAATTCTATATCGTTTTTTAAGGGGCAAAAGGAAAACTAACGACAATAATATGATTTTTCTGGTGTTTTTGTGCTATCATCTTTAATTCTTACACCATCTCTACAAGGGAGGCAGTATTATTGCACCCATTTTACAATGTAGAAATTGAGGTTTGAAAAGTGTAGTCTCTTTCCCAAGGTCTGAGAACTAGTAACTGGCAGAGCCAAGATTCTAACTTGGGTCTATCTGATTCCAGAGACTGACCTCTTCACCACTATGCTGTACTGAACAGTGCTTCACGATCTTTTTCACAGCAGAACACATGTAAAAGATGATAGTATTTATGGCACTAGGATAAACACAGGAAGTTTCTCATGGCCATGGTACTGGGGCTGTGGCTAATTCAGTCCCTGCAGGACAGGTTGGAGGGCTAAGGAAATAAATAAGCCAGCACACTTGTACACCTGTGATACACTGGGGTCTGGGAAGCTCTGGATAGCACTATCAGATTTAATAAGGAGACTGATTTGGGGCTTAGCATGAGGAAGGACATTATTTCTAAGAATTTGAAATGGATGTCTCATCGAAGTGAATTGTCTATTGCTGGTGAGGATAAAACAAGAAGAGCCATTTATTAGTGATGTTGTAGAAGGTATTCATCTAGTAGGATTAGAGGATCTCTGTGGCCTCCATGCTGAACTGATTCTAAGTTACATCTCTTTCATGAAGGCTTTTCCTTCCAAGTCTGTCCCCAAGGATTCTACCTCCTATGGACTTGTCAGCACTGATATTTTTGATATTTGTCATCCACTGCCTGTGACATTTCTTGATGGTTAGGTAATTACTGCATGTGGTTTAACTTCTCACTTCAGTACCTAAACCTCTAATGGCAATTCTAAGCACCTCAAGGTTAGCGTCTACATGCCGAACATCTTAATACTTCCTGCAGAAAGTACAGTATTTCTGTTGAATACAGTGAGGGAAGATGACAATACTGAAATGAGACTTGAGATGATCATCTATCCATGCTATTCTCTCCCATTTCATATTTCTATCTATAGTATCCTTGACTGTTGACATATTCTTGAGCACTAAAAACATATCACCTCTGCACCAACACACTACAAAATACCCTTTAAAATTCTGCAGAAAAAAAAAAAAAATAAAGGTGGACTCACTGGGCTCTTGTATAGAAAAGCTCTGTGAAAATTGCTTCTTGCTGGAATAACATCCCCCCTCCTGTCAGTCCATGCCTAAAACTTCCCTGAAAATCCAACCTGAGAAGCTTTTTCAAGAACCTTTCTTGTTCAACATGCTCAACTTCTTGTGATCCTTCTAATTGGCTTTCTAGTGGTATAATAAACTTCTTTTTATACTGTCTTTTTACATATAAGAAAATATTTCATGTATATTTTATACTGCTTTCTATGTGACCTGTCTTCCAAGATAAAATTTAAACTCCTTGAGAATGAACATACTCTTTTTATTACTTTGAAACTATACATGGACATGAAATAAGTGCAAGGCATGGGCAACAGTAGTTCTTAGATGCATGTTTATGGAATAATCGACAGTAGGAAAATAATACTTAAAAATTTACGTAATGATTTTGATATTACAAAAATTTTGATTGTGTCTCATGTTTTCCTGTTTACTTATACTCTGTTATGGGAGGAGCAATCATATTATACTAAGTTAACCAGTGGAAAATAGATTCTGAGAAGTAAACTTACCATGTGAATCAAGGGTAGTGCAAGGACTTCTAACAATCAGTCTCATAATAATTCCTAAGAAGGCTTTCCAATTCTTTTTTCAACAATAATAAGGGCTGATTGTATATAAACATCTTTAGTGAACTTGGCGTTATTATCATGAGAGGTTGGGTCCTAGGGAGAAATTATATAATAAAAAGAAGACATTTTTGGAATAGACTGAATAGCAGACCAGTCATTTAATGAAAATAGTACATGGAATATGGCTTTGCACCCCCAGCTGGTGCTTCTGAACTGTGAAAGAAAAGAATGAAAATGACCATAATTTAGAAAATGGATATCTTATTAATTAACAAGATTCTAGGAACAAAAATGTCATATTAAACTTAAAAGATTTCCTTTTAATAAGAATGCTTGGCCGGGTGCAGTGGCTCACACCTGTAATCCTAGCTCTCTGGGAGGCCGAGGCGGGTGGATTGTCTGAGCTCAGGAGTTCGAAACCAGCCGGAGCAAGAGCGAGACCCCGTCTCTACTAAAAATAGAAAGAAATTAATTGGACAACTGAAAATATATAGAAAAAACTAGCCGGACATGGTGGCGCATGCCTGTAGTCCCAGCTACTCGGGAGGCTGAGGCAGAAGGATCGCTTGAGCCCAGGAGTTTGAGGTTGCTGTGAGCTAGGATGATGCCACGGCACTCTAGCCCGGGCAACACAGTGAGACTCTGTCTCAAAAAAAAAAAAAAAAGAATGCTTACAGTGGCCAAGCAATCATATTACATAAATAAATAAAGTGGCTGGATGCAGCCAATAGGGGATAGGGAGAAGACTACCCAAGTTAAGAGCAAGTCCTTTTCCTAAAAGGGGCAGTATCACCTAACCATTCTACTCAATTTTTGTCGTAAACGAATTTACATATCACTAAAAGTCAGATATCACAATTTTTATTCAAAATTCAGTTTTTTAAGAGGCAGGGTCTCGCTCTGTTGCCCAGGCTGTAGCGAGTGGTGCTAGTATAATAGCTCACTGCAGCCTCGAACTCCTGGGCTCAAGTGATCCTCCTGCCTCAGCCTCCCAAGTAGATAGGGCTCCAGGTATACATTACCACACTCACATAATTTTATTTTCAAAAAATTTTAAACTCTGTATGGGTCAAAGAAAATATAATTATGGGAAACATTTGTTTCCAGTAATAGCAGACTAAGTAATTTAGATCCACCCACTGCTGAAGATACCCAGAAAATCTGGACCCAATATGTGCAAGTCACTTGACCGAAGGCATGAAAAGTGAAGTTAGAGAAAAAAATTACTGGGCTAGGATCCAGAGAAGGAGAGAGGCTCAGAGAGGCAAGTCAGGAGCTTGGAGCTTCTTTTCCCTTGGGGACGTTAGATGATTCCAGAGAGGACAGTTTAGAGGCAATGACGCTAAGAAGAGTGGGATTTGGGGTCCTGAACCCACCAAGGAAAGGAGCCATAGTGAATCTGCTCTATTCTTTAAACTTTGGGTTGGAATCCTGAAAGGTTGTATCCTAGCAGTGCAAACTAGGAGTTGGATAACTCCTCACGAGGAGTGCATCTCAGTCTGTGAATATCCCAATTCCTAAAATTTAACCAAGGTGACTTCAGAGTGCTAGAACACCAGGTACCTGGCAGGAGAAAGTATAAGCAGTCTCTGAAAAAATACAACATCATCACAAACCAATTTTACCAATAATTTTGCAAGCACAGCAACACAAAAAATAATCACGAGAAAAGCTAATCTCTAAAGGTCACATATTGTATGATTATACACACACACACACACACACACACGAAACATTTTCAAAATGACAAGATTATAGAGATGAAGAACAGATTAGTGGTTGCCAGGGGATAGAGATGGTGGAGGATTAAGATGTAGGTGTGACTATAAAGGCAGAGCATCAGGGAGAATTTTTGTGGTGACGGAAATTTCTGTATCTTGAATTAAAAATGTACAAGGGGTATCCAAAAGGTCGATATGTATATGGAAAGGGGCACAGCATCGTTAATCATAAGGGCAATGCGGTTTAAAACCACACCACGTCGCATCCACCAGAATAGATGAAGTGGTAAAATAATTGACAATTCCAAGTTTTGGTATGGTATAGAGCAACTAGAGTCTCATATAATGAGAATGTAAATTGGTATAAACACTTTGGAAAACTATTTTTTGCATTGTCTGCAAAAGTTAACTGTGCTGCAGCAATTCTGCTCCTAGATATATACTCAACAGAAAGGCATGCACATGAGCACAAAACACGTGCTAGTGCTAATGCCCGACAATAGGATAGATTAAAAAAAATGTAGAAGACTTATACATTGGAATAATATGTAAGAAATAAACCACAGTTGTGTGCAAAAAAATAGATAAATCTTACAAAGACAATTGTGGGATGTAGAGAAAATGTTTTTGTATTTGTGGGGTTTTCTGAGTAAATTTTCCTGAAACTTGGAATCGTGGGCCAAGAGCAAGCCCTAAAAGTTAATTTACAGCCAGATAAATAATGAGAGAACTGCAAAGAGATTTATCTAACTTTAGAGGTATATAGTCT